AGTCTTTGGAGGATGCAGAGATGGGAATCAACGTGAATGGAGTATTGATCAACAACATACGATATGCTGATGATGGTGTTTAAATTTGTGACAACATAGTCGATCTTCAACAACTTGTCACTATAATCGGAGAATTACAGTATGCGAATGGGATTAGAGATTAATACCAAAAAGACCAAATTCATGATCATCTCCAGAAACTTGGATGCACTTGAAAACTCCACCATAACACTGAATACTAAGTCATTGAAAGAGTGAGTAAATTTAAATACCTGGGATCGTGGCTTTTTGAAGATTGGGCATCGGACAGGGAAGTAAAATGTCGCATTTAGCAAGCTCGACAAGCTTTCGTAAAATTTTAAGAAGGTACTGACTTGTTCAGAGTTCGATCTTCAACTGAGACTAAGGTTTACTAAGTGCTACATATGGTCAGTGCTGCTATATGGCATAGAGGGCTGGACACTCAAAATGAGGGATATAAACAGATTAGAAGCTTTCAAAATGTGGCTTTATCGCCGTATCCTAAAAATACCACGGACAGCGAAAATCACAATATAGATATCCTTAAAAGAATAAACCAAGAACGCCAACTTTTCGAAACCATCAAGAAAAGGAAAACGGCGTATCTAGGTCACATCATGCGAAATGAAAATACCAGTTCCTTTAACTTATAATCGAGGGTGAAATTAAAGGCAAGAGACGAATGGGACGCAAGAAAATGTCCTGGCTCCGAAACTTAAGGCAATGGACAGGGAATAACGACATACAATCTCTGATACATATTGCAAGAAATATAGAATTAATAGAAAATGTGATCGCTAACATCCATTAGTGGATTTGCATCTGAAGAAGAAGAAGAAGAAGACGAAGGTCGTAGAAGGAACGAATCATGATACTATGACTAAGAAGATAAGATATTGCACATAAGTCGTGACGTCATTGGAGAGTTGGACGTTTGAAATGTCAGTTTTTTTGTGTGTATCAATAAATAATCTTTAATAAATAGTTTGGAGATTTCCTTATGTGTACAATTATTGTAATTATTAAAATTCTACTCTCCAATGACGGCATACGCGAACACGTTACAACTGATACACGGATGAGTCCTTTAGATGTTCTAAGTGTAACAACTCTTCAGATGTTGTCAGCTCCTGGATGCAAGTTTTCCACAGTCCGATAGACCGCTGGAGAGGAGGTGCGTCCTTGCTTTTTATTAGAACAAGAGCACCAACTTTGATTTGGAAGTGATTTACCTTCCATTTTTGTCTCTGCTGCATCTCTGAGAGGTATTCCAAAGACCATCTTCGCCAAAAATATTGACGGAGTTGCTGAAGATGTTTGAACCTTGTCAACCGAAGAGGGTTGTGACTAGAAACGTCTACTTCTGGTATGGAATTCATAAATCTTCCAATCAAAAAGTGAGCAAGGGTTATAGATAAGAGGTCTGAAGGATCGGAGGACATGGGACTGAGATCTGAAGGACGCGAATTTAGTATACCTTCTACTCGAGTGAGAACAGTTGAAAAGTCTTCATAAGTTAAATGAGATCCGGTAATGATTTTTTTCAAGAAAGATATCATAGATTTTACTTTCCGCTTCCCATATATGGGGAAATGAGGGGAATGCGAATAAATAAATTGCCAATTGATTTCATCCTTGCAACAGGATTCCGCAATTTGTGTTTCATTGGATTTGATAAATTTACCAAGATACTTGAGTTCGTTGAGGCAACCTACAAAATGTGTGCCATTATCAGATATAATTTTAACGGGTATGCCAAGAAGTAGTTAAGTCTGTGACCATTTCCAGGTATATCGCTTTAGTAGCTTAACAAATAAAAAGACTGACATAAGCCTTGTACGTGTCTGGATTTTTATCTTTGTTTTTAAGAATGAACGGACCTGTATAGTCAACTCTCGTGATTGCAAACGGAAACGATGGATCTACTCTAAATGAAGGAAGATCTCTCATCATGGGTGCACACTGAGGAGGTTTGGCACGAAAACAGCGTATGCATTGACGAACTACCTGTTTCGTAGTAGACCTACCCGAAATAGGCCAAAAACGTTCACGAGCGACAGACAGTAAATGCTGAGGACCGGCATGCAACAACCTGAGATGTTTCGACCGAAAAATCATGGTTGTAACAGGATGATTTACAGGGAGGAGTATTGGATGCTTTTTATTAAAATCGTATTTGGAGTTGCGTAATCTACCACCTACTCTGATAACGCCATCATTATCCAGAAAGCGATTTAAAGAGAATATTTTGCTCTTACTTCCTTGAAAAGATTATGACGTTCCTTTGGCAATGCCTTTGATTTAACCATCTTTGCAATACATGAGACAGAGGCTTGAAGCTCTATGATGGTTATATGATCGCAAACCATGCGTCTTGGAACTAAGCTATTTCGGAACAGACGTAAGCAACGAGCAATGACTCTTGTGAGATACGATAAATTTCTGTAATCCTGAAAGGGAAAATATTGCGCTGAGCTTGTGACCAAAGAATGAGTAACTTTCTTAGTTTCAGGAAGATCTTAATCAGGCTGAAAACTTAAGACTGACCAACTACCACGAGATTCCATGAGGAAGAAAGAACGGTGCCACCAAGTTGTTGATAACATAAGTCGACTGGGTTCTACACCGCGGACAATAGATCTGCAGGGTTATCCTTGTACCGACATAACTCCAAGCGCTGGACGAAGTGGTGGACTGAATTTCAGACACTCTATTAGCCACGAATGTTTTAAGAATATGAGGCGAGGCTTTTGACCCAACCTGAGGTAATAGTGAAATCTGTCCAAAGAAAAATGTTATGAAATTGAAGACTGAGCGATTCTGTGACTTTCTTCACGAGCCGTGACAATATCAAGGCTCCACAAAGCTCCAAACTAGAAAGAACTGATTTTCTTTAGAGCTACACTTGTCTTGGCACAGAAGAGGCGCACCGATATATTTCCTTGTCAGAGAAGCCGTGCAGCTCGATAGTTTGAAGCATTTGCAATGATAGCATGTCTCGGAACTTTTAAATTATTTAAATGAAAAAGCTAATGCCGAAATGAAAGCCACTTAGTGTGGACGTCTAGAGATACGGGTTGATCACACTCCAAACGTTCTAACCAAAACCGTTGCATTAGAGTTTTTTACAATGATAAATTATGGGACTAAGAAGACCAAGTGGATCAAATATGTGGGCTATACCAGAAAGTTTAGTCCTTTTAGTAAACTGTTTTAGAAAGAGCTTCAGGAGATATATGATATTAAAGGTCAGATTTTGGGCACCACTGAAGGCCTAAAGTTCTGTAATTTCAAGTGCGCTAGCCAGATCAGATAGAAACCAAAGAATCCTGAATATGCTTAAGAAGTGAAGGGTCGTTTTTGAACCACTTTTTCGAATCGAAAAATAACCTTCTGATAATATATGAGTAACTTCTTGACAATTATGAATAAAATCTGAAGCTGAATCAGACCCTGTCAGGAGGTCATCGACATAGAAGTCATTTTTAATAATAATATCATAATATCATAATTTTGGCAGCTTGAGATACTTCTCATAATTTTCATGATATAATTGAAGCAGGCATCTCGTAGCAAGAAAACTAAGTAACCGTGTTCAGAGAATAAGTTTGCAAAGACTCCTGAGGATCCCGTCTTCATAGAATTAACTGAAGATTTCTTGGGAATGACAAAAAAGGATCTGCCAATACATTTTGGCTTTATCAGCACAAGTCACATAGGAATGCTGCCTAAACCTGAGGAGAATTGATATAAGATCTCTATGAATGACTGGTCCGACCAAGTTGAGGTTCATTAACCGAAACACCTGAAGTGGCAGGGCAAGAACCAAGAATATAACGAATATACTAACAACTTGCTCTTGTGCTTTATTCTTGAAGATATATGAGTGACACCGACCACCGAGATATCGGCAGGTTCCTTGGAGAGAACCCAATTTGGACACCAGATTATACGGGTGACAAAATGTGACTGAGAACCACTGTCCAGAAGGGGCACTACAATTATGTTTAATTTCAAACCGAAATAGAATTTGGACTGTGACAGTTGACAACAGTGCAAAGGAATTCTGAACTGCTCACTTCATTGACGGCTCTTCATTCTTCCCTTTATGAGGCTATAAATGGTCTACACAAAACTTTCCAAGCTTCGTCTAGGTCATGGTCAACAATTTCTAAGGTTTGATCTACACAGCATTGGGAGAATCTTTTCCGTGATTATTTTCCATTAACTTTACTAGTTCTAATGTTCTTTATATTTTTGTTTGTAGACTAATAAGAGTCACTCACTCCTGAGTATTTTTCTAGGTCATCTCTTTTATATTTTCATGTTAATTTTTATTTTTACGAGTTGCAAGGAAATGCTGTCAGGCACTGTCACATCACTTACCCAAAACTTGTTCTTCTGTGCTATGTATCTCATGAGCACGAGGGTATTACATATTAGGGTTTGTAAGCACGATAGACGGAGCACATATTTTAACTAGATAATAAGCCAGTTCATGAGTATTCATGTGTTCATGAGTATATGTATATTTGATGTTTCTGTGTTTCTGCTATGTTTAATTAGCAAATTTGCAGTTACCTACTAGCTATAGTTTTTATGTCATATTCTTAAGTAATTAATATCCTATACAAAGGATGCACTTTTATGGTAACTGTAACGTGTTGTGTTTGGGATTAAACCGTCATTGTCCAGTATGTCGTTCGCGGAGTCATACTCAGTTTTGCTCTTAGACCGTCTTCACAGTCTCATTCATAATGCTGCAGTTGGGCTGCATCTAATGCATTTTTGATCACCGTCTTAATCTGCTCTTCTACAATGTTCGCTCCTTTTAAAGTTTTTCCATATTGTGCACCGAATAATTTCCTTAGTATTTGTAATGTAGATGGTATAAGTCAAACACATTACCAATTATAAGAACATTGATTTAATTGCATTTTAATTTTAATTTGGTTGCCTGTTTCGTTTATGTTTTTTAGAAAGCTAATCCTCAAGAGCTATTACCTGTATATTTTTGGATTCATGGAGGAGGTTTCATAGGTGGATTTGGTTCCGGTAATAATCCAAAATTGTTTATTGATTATGATATTGTTATTGTTACAATTAACTACAGGCTAGGAGCTTTAGGTAAGTTTATAAAAATCTTTTATATATACGGTATAAAATAAAATACTCTAATCAATTCACCGCAGAGGATAGAAAGCTCTAAATAATTAATTAGTAAAATATATTTGGTTGATTTGGTACAGTTGGTACTTAAGAAGAGCTTTATTAATGCAAAGTTTAATTTCGATATGTGATCAAAGGGAGCTCTAAACCTCTGGAGTTTTGTTTTTTATTCTCGAGCACGATATCAATTGCCAGGCTTGCAAAATTATTACAATAATTGTAAATATTGTAATAATCCACAATTATTGTGGATTCCTTACGCTTCACTTTTTCAATTATACCATAATCTCTATTGCACTCCATAATGTATGGCCTGGTTCCAAAAAACTTGTGATGAATCTCTTGATTATGAGTAGATTTAACCAATGAACATAAACAGGCTTTACAATGTTTTTTATTTTTGTTCTGTTCCACCACAGCAATCGCTATATGCGATGATCTTGGTAACCCATTTAGAGAGTACGTTATTTGCAAAATGAATGAGGCACGAACCAATTTCTTGAGATCCCCTGCTGAAATGGATTCATCCCAGATGTACATTTCTGATCTCCTCCTCGGGTTACATTGTGAACACAAAAATTATACGTCCCAAAGCTGTACGCAAATAAAACGCTTTGGAAGTAGTTATTAAGGGAGAGGGAAATGGTTTGACTTAAGATCAAAACAGATTTCGTTCGTATCTACAGATGCTTTGTATTTTTTCAGTATCTTGTTTTTTCATTGTTTCAGCCATCTTTGCTTTCTGTTGATGAAGCTCTTGATCAAATTTGGCTATTTTTACTTTTTCTGCATCTGCTGAATATTCTATAATATTTCTATAGGCGTCACATCTACTGCATGTATCTGAGTTTGGCCTATGAAAATCTTAGGTTAAATGCCGTATTAAAAATATGTCTATAATATGAGAGCTTCACTGGATCCTCATGTAGTTCCTCACATTGTTGAACATGTAACTGGTACATTTTGTTTAAATTTTAAATCTGGGTGCCAAGATCTTTGTATTCAAATTTGAATTCCTTGAATAATGAATTATATATTTTGGGAATTTGGGCTATATGCTCAATAAGACTATTACGTTTCTGTGGATCCATTCTTTTAGTAGATTGTTGCCCCTCTTCGATTTATTTCGCATACACCAACCTGATCAGTTTTCTTACAAACAGTTCTAAATCTTTTGTTGCTTATGTTTAATATTCGAAGAAAGAACAGTTTTGCAGACTCGTTTATTTAAAAGAAATATCTCTGTGCTTTAGCTTTTATTTTTTTTCTGTCAATTTTGATCTAGCTACATTCTTGTTTTTTATACAGGAAGATGAAAAGGAATATTGAAGATCATATGATGCCAGTTTGGCAAAAGCTTTTAAACAACTGAATTCGTTTTTCTTTAGAGATGTTTTCATTGCATTTATACCTGCAGTTATGCTTGTATTCCTGGACAGGTCGTGCAACATGGTTTTTTTCCTTTATGAGCCACATATGCCATTTCCAGTATTACGTAATTTTTTTCTTTTGTTAATTTTCCATTTGCTTTCATTTCTGCTCTTTTTTACGTGTTTTTTTGAAGTTTACATTTATCTGACGATAAGGATTAGATACTCATTCCGAATTGAACTCTCATTTTAAATTAATTAATAAAAACCTACTTACTTCACTGCCACTGCTATAATACATTTTATATAAATATTTTTAAACTATTTCTATCGTTTTATACACAATTTAGGCCATAAATAACGAAAGTGATAATATACGTTACAAACATATAAGTCAAATAGCATAAGTCAAAGTATACTGACTGAATGGTTGGAAGTTGGAATATAAGGGAACCAAGTGCGCTTGGATACATTTTTAAACTGAAAGGTTTCTATACTTTTATTTACAAAACTTTTTTCAAACTCCAGTAGATGGCAATCTATGTATGAAATCACTTCTATCTATTTTCAAATTATTAATACTTTACTTTAGGTATTAAATCTGTATTTTAACTCGATATTAAAAAAAATGCACTTGGACCCCTTTTATTCTAAGCCTCAATTAATACTTTATAATGAAATTGTAGGTTTTAATGATATTGATATAGTAATTTATTTTTGTGAAATATTTCTAATACAAAATTATTACAGGATTCTTAACAACGATTGATAATAATATTCCTGGAAACTTGGGTCTTAAAGATCAAGTTCTTGCTCTTCAGTGGGTACACGATAACATTAATGCCTTTGGAGGCGATCCAAAACAAGTTACAGTGGGTGGTGAAAGTGCTGGAAGCATGTCTGCCGGATTTCATTTGCTTAGTAAATCAGCCCGAGGTATGTATATTATTCTCTCAACTCCTATAAAATACATCAATAACTTAAGAGGGTATCCCTCTCCTCGTTAATTAAGCTCTTGTTAGAGCGTGGTGAATTTTTAGCTTGCCGTATCCATTCGCTTAGTCTTAATTTGGTCTACCCATCGTGTTGAAGATCTTCGTCTTAGTCTTAGGCCTTCTGCAGTTCATTCATAATAAATATAATCAAATGTCAACAATTGCACATGAAAGCCGAATAAGGCCAGGCCATACTGAGGTGTATTAAATGATTAAAAAAAAATCATCTTGAACTAAGAATGTAAGAATTTCTTGTAGTTTGACTGAGTAAAATTTAACGTTTCATTAAAGAAAAATGCGCTAAAATAAAATATTCATTAACAAAGATGCACATATTAAGTATTTTGAATTAAGTAGTATTATCATCAGTTTTTCATAATAACTGGGTTATGTGCTGAGTGGAGTGAGAAAACTACATTTGCTGCTTTCTTCGTCTGGATGTATAATTATTGATTCAATGTAGGTCTCTATTATGTTGTCCAACTTCCACATTTTGTATTCTACTTTTGGTTCAACGTATTGCACATATTTATGTCATATAGTTGAAGTTCTTTGTCCTATATATAATTGTCCCTTGATAAACCGACAGGTATAGGACCACAGGGTTGTCGGATTACCAAAAGTGTCCGGATACGGACGGAAAATATGACGATTTTCAGAACGAAATTTTCTTATCGGTTATATACTCATAACGCCATTTTTGTAATCTTTAAGATTCCACAATTACCTACCTGTCTTTTGTCAATTATACGATAGCGAAAGCCCATACTTTTCAAAATTTTCCATAAGCTGGTGAGGCTACAGCTTATGATACAGTCGTTGGCCATGCTATTTGTCCATGTTAACATAAATTAATAAATATTTAGAATCTCTGCTGTTACTGAAATAAATTAAATCTACAGAATAATTTTGACAACGTCGCTTAATGTTCATCTAAAGTTTCGTCTGGCTACATTCACAATAAAGTGCTTAAAGGGGGTGGTTACTTCTTGCTGTCGCCAGTTTAGTTGTCCACAGGTAAAATCGTACGAATTTCTTAAGGATTGTACACTTGTTTTTGATCCATTATAAAGTTAATCATTGTAGATATAGATATAATTTAGCATGATATATTAAACTAAGGTTGTGTCTGATCAAATTTTAGGCCCCAACCCAAACATTGTTAGATAACAAAAAACGCGCGAGTTTATTATGCCAATAACTATTTCACCCAAACTATATCACCATAAAACTATAAAACATCACCCAAATATAACTCTAAAAACCGCAGAAGGAATAACAGCAGCTAGCTCAGTTGTAGCCGAAACAGACATAAGAAACTGGTTTACTAATGTAGAAGACTATTTAAAGGAAAAACAATGATTTTAGATTCTTGAAGAAACCAGCAGAATCTATAATGGAGACGAAACCTGTTTTTGGCTTTGCCCAATGAACAAAAAAGTTTTTGCCATAAGACGAGCGAAAATCGTTTATGAAATACAACATCATTCAAAAAACAATATCACAGTGATGTTTACATTTTCGTTTGTGGTATTGTGACCCCACCTATGATTATGCTTACAAAAGACTCCAGCTAAAATAGTTAAATCTGTACCTGACACCTGGGGAATTGGATGCAGTGATAAATGTTTGGATGAAAAATCACTGTTCTTACGAATATATAGGAAAACATTCTTTATCCTTACTTAAGCAAAAATAACATCAAATTTCCAATAGCCTTGTTCGTTGATGGTCACAGGCTCACATATTAACCTATGAAATAAGCGAGTATGCACAAAGCTACAGATAATTCTAATTGCTCTGTACCCTAACTCGACTCGAATCTTGCAACCTGCAGATGTGACCGTCTTTTAATTTTGGAAAAGTGTTGTATTCAAGTTTCGGAGAAAGCACCCTACTGAAACTGTACCATAGGACAATTTTGCTGCAGGTTTTAAAAGCAGCAAGGAGGAACGGACCTATTCCATTGGACAATTCAATCTGAAATCTGTGAGCCAGAATTAACTCTTGAAATCGCAAATTTACAGGATGAAAAAAATGTTTTATTAAGCATTACTTCGGAAATTATCGTAGATAAGCAAATGTTTGACATTGAAAATATTCCTATTCTAATAGAAGAAAATACTTGTAATAGTTGTAATAGTTTAATTTCGAAAACAGAATGCGTAGATTATTCTTCTTATTGCTTTGCTGTCAAATTCATCAAATGAGTTAATAATATTTTAACGATGCTCAATTGCTATGTCTTACATAAATCTCAAGGAGTTCGTCTTCTGTATCGGTGCACGAATTTTACTTATTCTATTTATCTTCAATAACTATACAATACAAACAAAATAGTCTAGAAACCTAAAAACACAAAATACAATAACTTAAAATAAAACCAACCAACACGCTACAATTTAAATATAATCAGACCAAGCAGTTTGGCCCTGTAAAATGACAATCATTCTCGCTCAAGGCGATAAATTATATCTAATAGTCTCTTGGCGAATAAGAGGGTGAGTACCATCGAAACAATATGAATAAATTTACCTTTCCTCCTACTATCAATAATTCCATAGATCCCGCTTTTCTAACTATGTGGCCAAAAAGGTATGCTCTTACATAGTGGGTTGACATTGATTGACAAGTGGGTTGTACATTCTGTCCACGACACGCGTAAAATTCTTCTGTAGTTCCACATTTCGAAGATTTCGATCTTAATTTAGTCGATTTTTTTAAGAGTTCATGTTTTAATTACGTATGCAACAATGGGAAAATAAATGTTTAAAAATAATAAATATATAGGGACAATGAGATAGCTGCCAAGAGTCACATTTAGACCCAAGTGGACTACTGTAAAAGCAGACGATAAGTTCAAGAAAACCAATGAGAAGAGATACATTTTGAGTGTTAGTTTTCAATGGTTCAATATATTTTCAATTTAATTTTATTATCAGTCTGTTGTTAACAAACAGAACGTAAAAACTTTTTGTTTATAGGTTTATTTAGTGGAATCATTCAACAAAGTGGCTCGCCATTGGCTGGGTTCTTCTATCCGTCAAATGATCGAGAAGTGGCATTTGAATATGGCAGACAACTAAATAAGTCCTTTAATTCCAGCAAATCTAGCGATTTATTAGCCATGTTACAAGAAGCGTCGATGACAGATTTAATGAATCTACAGTCAACGGTAAATATTAAGTTTTATAATATGTACATTATTTATATCAAGATTTGGCCACTTTAAAGGAGTCCCACCCCAATTATTTGCAATACTATCCGACACCAGACAAGGTCGGTGTTATATTTATTATATTAATAATATACTATATATTATTTATATATATACTATTATATATATATATATATGTAATATTATATATAGATAAAGACTCTTAAATATTGGAGAAATCTGCATGAAAAAACTCTAATGTGTATCAATTGTTTCGCCGAATGTTTTCGCCAAAGAGAATTAATTTGGCTTCTTCAGGGCTGAAAGAGAATAAATTATAATTAGCTACCATATATTATCTAATAAAAAACATTTTTCTACTCTCTTACTAGTAAATTGTATATTCCCTACTATTTGGATGCTAAGTAAATGCATCATAATAGATACTGACACATAATGACTAGCACGTAATAAAAAAAATTACGCTTCAGTTTTATAAAAATGTGTAATATCACATAAGCCTCGTAAGTCAGTTGGTCGAGTTACCATGTAAACGAATTAACAGACGTTATTTTGACAGATTAAAAATTATTAATCTGTCAGTGTAAATATAGTGGTAATTTAATTTTTCTTTTTATAAACGAAAATATTGGTAATGGAAAATGTATAGTACACAACTTGAGTTGTAAGCTTATTACATGCTTGTAAATTTACTGCGCTCGCCGCTATGCGGCTCGCGCGCAACTTTTTACTCGCATGTAATAAGCTTCTTACAACTCTCGTTATGTTAATATACTATTACCTTACCGTAAATTTTAGGAAATGTCGTGTTAGGATATTAAAAAACTTAGCTAGTAACAACATAGTGGTGTTTTTTTTGTCACTATGTGCAAAAAAGTTTTTTGTTAACGTTTTAAATGTAATGGTAGCTTTGAACTTAAAACGCAAAGGTTTACCCAAGGTTAATCGAAAAACCCAATGTAACTACATTTAAAGGAAGTGATTCTTTGAATTGTCGGCAATAACTAAATTTTTTATTGTTATAAAGTTTGAATGTGAGGTTCTGTTTTCATAGAACGCAAGAGCTGACAATTACAAGTAGGCATTTTGAATATTTATGTCGTTAAGGTTCATTGGTAAAAACCGATGAAGTTAGATCCCAGTCTGGGGATACAATCTCATTATAGATATTATTATAATAATATCTTAATGAGATGTATCTAAGAAAAGCAAGGAATGTTATCTTTTTTAGGTAATGAAAAATTATTATTAAAGTAGGTTAGTTGTTAATAGATATATTAGTCAAGTTAGTTATCTGTGATGTTGTATTGTTCTTGGTATCTGATTTAAGTAAGAAGTGGTATATATCGCTTAGATTCTTAATGTCACTCTTAACATTGATGGAAAAATCGTTAAGGAAAATATAAGACATTTCAATGTACTCTCTTTTACATTTATTGTTCTCACGGTCGAGAATTGTAATGTTCGTATAGTCCATGTGATGGACCAGTGGAATTGGACATGTTTGGCTAATGCACAGCGGTCAGGGTGAAGTCGAGAATCACTTTTTGTGTAGTGTAATACGTGATTTTCAATAATTGAGATGTTTGGGCCGATATAGGAATTGCTACAAGAGAGGCATGGAATGTTGTAGACAATATTACTAAGCCTATCTATGGGAGTCTTATCTTTTATCTTCGAATAACGATTATTAATTGTTAGGGTTTCAGATGTTTATTATTATTATTCCCAAAGCTATTTTCAACACTTTTTAGAATCCTTGTTAACCCCGGAGTGATAGCTCTGAATAGATATATATATATATATATATATATATATATATATATATTATATATATATATATATATACCTATATATTTTAACATATTTATAACTTAAATATGAATATTCCCACAGTTTTACCCTAGTAATAGACCGCAAGGATTTATGACATCCCTTGTCTGGAAGCCAGTTTATTGAAGAAGACGCGATAACGCTGCGGTACTGGACCTATGCATAGTGCCATTCTTGATGGTGAATTTAACTTTGTACCAGTTCTAATAGGATTAAATTCTGAAGAATCTCTAGTATTTTTGAGTAAGTTCCGTTTAGAACTATTTGACTACGACTAATTTTGCAATCATTATCCATAATAGATGCGACGTAGGTTCTTGTCTATTGGTATGAAGAGTATTAAAGTGCGCATTGTATTTTTTATTGCATTTTCCCTTTCTTTCTTTTTTCCAAATTCTTAGACCGTTTTTTCTTCTAAACTTCTTGCTCTTCCCAATTGCTTTATTTGAGGGTTTTGTGATGAATTCTTTACACTGTTGCATTCTTAATTTATGCTGCCTTTTCTTGTGAATGCCTGTAAGTATTGTTGCAATCATTATTGGTATAGATATTTATTGCTGTTGTATTTTAATAGATATACTTAATACTTTTCTTTATTTGATGATTTCCTGTAATTCGGTAGTTGTTAATTATTTGTTCTCCAAACGACCCGACTATACCAGGAATTGCTGTGTTATTCCCTATATCCTATTTATATAAATAACTATTCTGGCATTTAGCTATCCACATATGATAAGATAATAATTCTCATTTATTCTATGTACTTGTTTTTGTAATATCGTGTAGAATTTTTCAGTTTCCTTTTTTTCCGTCATTATGATTATTAAGTATGCACTACTTACTTTGAGTCTTTCATTGATGTAAGTGTAAAATTGAATTTTGATCAATTAATATTAGTACTCCACTCCATATGTTCTATATATTGCATTTAGCTCTTTGTGAGTTTCAATTCCTTCTTAGTTCCAGTTATGACTGCTATGTTTATGTTTTCTACCTTCAGCTCTCTGTTTAGTTCTTATTCTTTTTACCTAAACCGTCCATTTCATGTCGCAACTTTCAATCTATTCATCAAATTAAGTCGTTTGTCTTTAACTATCCTTGATTGATTTCAGTGAGATCTGTCCGGCATTTCAAGAACATTACGAATTTGCTTAGTGAAGATTTAAGTTTAACCTTTAGTTAAGTAGTCGGGTGATAACGTTATAAACTTGAGGTTTACTGACCTACCCAATTTTCATATAGCAATTGACTCCCTTAATGACTATTAATTTGAATGTATATTTTTTAGATGACACCAGTGATGAATTTAAACAAAGAAAAAAATACTATGATGAAACTCCAAAGAATGTGATATCGGAATATTTAAATATAGCTGAAGAAGCTAAAGAAGATGTTGGTAAAGCATTAAAGAGTCTCTATACTAACTCATCATTCGAGGAGGACACACTTGCGTTTATCAAAGTATAAAAAAATATCTAATTGGCTAACTTTAGAACAAATTAATGCACAACTTTATTAATGAAAGGTGTTTTTTTGTTTTTTTTAACTGTTTTTATACTCTATAGTTTAGCCATAATTAGGGCAAACAAGAGTTATAAAGAACAGTTTTTATTCAAACTGATGTATATCACAGATGTCTACGATTTAAAATTAGTTATTGATTATACAGGGTACAGTCAAAACAACGGAAAGAATCAAAGGTTTGATGCAATAATAACCTAGAAAATTGATTTTTAAAATGTAAAACTTTGATAATGTCTTTACCACAAAATTTTAGGTTGAATGAAGATAATAATGTCACATAATATTTAGAATGTATTTTTCAATGTACTTTACAATTAAATTAAATGTTCAAAATGACCACTATTCGCTTTTTGACAATACCCAAGGCGATTTTGGAATTCTCGTACAACATTTTGTACGACTCCGGGAGTTATTTTGTTAATTTCTTCCGTTATCCCAACTTTTCAATCAGCAATACTGTTTGGTCTAGTAAATTATACTTTAGATTTTAAATAACCCCATAAGAAGTAATCGAGAGGAGTCAAATCGGGGATCTAGCCGGCCATTCGATTGTTCAACGTCTTCCAATTTACCTATTGGGAAAAAACTCCTTTAAATAAATAAATAACAATAAATTTATTATTTCTACCTGGTTTTTTAATATTTTTTACATGTCCAGTATAACGAAAGTTCTTTGCAATTGTGCTAACTGTAGACTACGAAACTTGTTGACCAGCGTATTCATTATTAACATTTCACAAACCTTCTTTTGAGCTCTTGTTTTATTACCACAACCAATCATAGTTAAAATGTCTATTCTTTTAGTCTCGGACAAATGAGCTATAATTAAATTTAATACTTGCACAAATATTATACTCACGTCTTCTAGTAACCTTAAATACCAAAATGACAGCAGCCTACTAGATTCATATCAATTGTTTATTTGGCTTTTTGACTAATATTTTATTATCTTCAAAGTTTTTTACCCAATGTTTAGCAGAACAGATACGAAAATACCTGATTTTTTCTAAAGTATATTAATAGACCAGGCAATATTGCTGATATAAAAGTTAGGATAACGGAAGAAATTAACAAAATAACCCCCGAGGTCATACAAAATGTTGTATGAGAATTCCAAAATCGCCTAGGTTATTGTCAAGAAGTGAATAATAGTGGTCAAGTTGAACATTGTAATTTAATGCTGTAAAAATTAATTTTGTAAGTTATAATTGCACAAACTCAAAAAACTTTACATTGCTGAACAGAGGACTAAAATCCCTTTCTAATAAGGTGTTACACGACCCCCTTTGCTATTTAAAATTTTCAAGTGGGTGCTTATAATTCAAAGGGGGTGCTGGAGGGGATATTATTTTCATACTGTAAATTGTCAATTTAAAAATAAAAATCGACCTGTTTCAGGTTTTTTTCACATAGTACATAATAAAGCTAAAAATGAATTTATTCCATACATATGGACCACATGGTATATTATTAGCAAAGACCAGCAACAGATTTGATCCTTGATCAGCAAATTCTGTCAGCTCAGACGATATTTTACTTATTGCATATTCTAAAGCAAAATTGAATAGCAATGGTAATAAGGGGTCCCCCTGTCTAAGTCCAGGATTTTTAACAAATGGCAATGATGTTCTCCTTCCTATCTTTACTTGTGCATATAAGTCTATCAAGCACATTTCCGTTAATTCAACTAATTTTCTTGGGATTTCCAATTCTAACATTGCTATCCAGAATTTGCTTCTTTTTATGGAATCACATGCTTGGTGAAACTCTATGAAAATTTGGTGCACATCGCGGTTGAATTTCCCGTTTTTCTCTAATATTTTTTCGGATGGTAAATATCTGATGTATAGTTGACCTTCCAGCACGAAAGCCGCATTGGTAGTCGCCTAGAATGTCTTTGATATAGCACCTAAAGATAATTGATAGCACGTTTATATGATGTGCTAATAAGCGATATGCCTCTATATTTTCGGAATTGTTCATTGTTACCTTTTTTATATATGGAAATTATATTGCTGCCAGTCGATTCCCTAGGCATTTTATGTTGTTGCCATACTTTCATAATGATGTCATACAATTTTTGGTGTAAAAGGTTTCCTCCTTTTTTAAACAACTTTTCATTTATTCATTGTTTGGTGCTTTATGGTCTTTAAGAGACGCCATCGCATTATTTACTTCCTCAAATGTTGGTGCTGGTATTTCGATATCTGCAGAATGAAACGTAATATCTGCTTTCTCCGCCTCACTTTCAACATTTAGTAAATTCCGAAAGTATTATCTATCGTTTGACGATTTCCGTCTCTATCATTATAAGTTCAACTGCTTCATTTCTCATAGGCTTTGTTACTCCAATACTTGCACCTTTTCTGACCAACTCCACTTCATTAAAGAATTTCCTTGCCGTCATCTCCTCTCCAAAAGAGACAACGCGTGCTCAGAGCAATTTTCGGATCTGGTAAACGCACAACCATGTGTGCTTTGACAATTGTTTTTGTATTTAAATTTATCACTATTATATTTTAAAAATAGTATATTATCGCAGTTTCAAGATTATTGGATACCATCAGACGTACGCAAGTTAATATACAATGTCAAATTCAGAAACCGACCAGGTCTAATTGTAAACATTACATTTAAGTATGAGTAGAATAAATGTATCATTACAGTATTAGTAATGAACGAGAATAAGATATTAATTATGTCTGTTCTTTGAGCTACTTCAGAAATGCTTTCTGTGCAGAAAGTATACGGCTTGTGCAGCAGTTAGTATATTAAAGCTTTATGTGTCAAAAACCTTTTGTAAAAATATTAGTGGTGCATTAATTTAGTCCATGAGTTTATATTTTCGGAATATATAATTAAATGATCCTGATAATCACCTTTGTTTTAGTATACCAGTGACGAAAATTTTGGACGATCGATAGCACGTCAAGCTGAAGCCGGATCTCGATATGCTCCTGTGTATATGTATCAACTATCTTGGTATAATAAACTCAACCCATACCCAGGTATATCAGTTTACATTTCAACTGCTTGTATTTTTCTTCTAAAACTAATTTATGATGACCTCTCATATTTTTTTAAATATTCTTTTATAAATGTAAGACAAACGGTCAATTAGATTCATTATTTCATACTTAAACTTTTCCAATTTACTATTTTTACTGGAAATGTCATAATTTTGCTATTAAAATAAAATCAAGCCAATTCAAATTTCTTCTTCTTCTGGCTCCTATCCGTTTCGGATGTTGGAAATCATATTGGCAATCATAACCTTGCTCGCTGCGGCTCGAAACAGCTCCGTTGAGGTTTTCTTAAACCATGTTCTTAAATTCCGCAGCCATGATATTCTCCTTCTACCGGGTCCTCGCTTACCTTTGACTTTACCTTGCAATATAGACTGTAGCAGGGAGTAACGGTGCTTATTTCTCATAACGTGTCCCAGATATTGCAATTTTATGCGTTTGATCGTAAACACAATCTCTGGTTCCTTCTTAATTTTTCCTAGAACTTCCTTGTTCGTGATCCTTGCTATCCATGATATTCTCAGCATTCTTCTATAAAGCCACATCTCAAATGCTTCAAGTTTTTTTAATAGTGGTGTCTGTAAGCGTCCATGCCTCCGCCCCGTACAAAAACACAGAGAAAACATAGCATCTCAAATGTCTCATTTTTGTATCAAGGGATATGTTGTGACTTTTGAAGATAGCGCTCATTTTGTTAAAGACCGTTCTTTGCCTTTCCTATGCGGCACTTTATTTCCTGTACATTGCTCCACTGTTCTTTAATTATAGTTGCCAGGTAATAATACTGTTTTACTCGCTCTATTTGCGTCCCATTAATGTATAGATGAGCCCCGTTTATATTCTCCTTGCTGATAATCATTTGTTTCGTTTTGTAGGTATTAATGTTTAGTCCGTACTATTGATTGTACTCGTTTATTCTGACCATTAGCCTCTGAAGTCCCTCTAAACTATCTGCTATCACCATGGTGTCGTCGGCATATCTAACATTGTTTACTCTTTCACTATTTAGAAGGATGCCTTCGTCTATTTCGTAAAGAGCCTCGTTACATCCCTGTCTAACTCCACGTAGTATTTTTATGTGATCTGTTTCTTCTCCGTTAATTTTCATGTATGCGGTCTGATTCCAGTAGAGTTCTAAAATTATTCTGAGGTCTTTGTCATCCAGGTCTGCATCTTTGAATCAGTACCTGTACTCCGAAAAGTGCCTCTCTGGTACCCACTGCGTTAATGAAGCCGAACTGTCTGTCCGATATTTGTTCCGCCCTCTTCTTATAAATTCTTCCATGGATGACTCTAAGAAACAGTTTCAACATGTGGCTCATTAGGCTTATTGTTCGATATTCTTCGCACTTTTTAGCCACCTGTTTTTTTAGGTATCGCTATGAATTCTGATTCTAGCCATTAATCAGGGATGATTCCTGTATTGTATATTTTATTGAAGACAGCCGTGGTCCAATTTATTTCTTCTTCCTCCACGAGTTTTAAAAATTCAATTTCGATATTATCAGTCCCTACAGCTTTCCTGCTTTTCATCCGTTTTATTGCTTCTTCTACCTCGGATTTAAGTATGTCCGGGCCCGTCATCCTCTCTGAAAATGGATGCCTATAATCCGTTCTTTGATCTTGAAAAAGTGTCTCCAAATATATTCTCCATTTGTCTTTCATCTCTTGGGTGTTAATGATTAATTTTCCATTGGTATCTATGAGTTTCATTTGTGTTCGCTTTGTAAAAGTACCCGTTATTTCTTTTACCTTTTTGGGTACATTAAAATTGTCATGCTTGGCTTGTAGTCTTTCTATTTCTTTACATTTCTCTACAGCTTCTTTTTCTTTAGCTTCTCTTATTTTTCTTCTGATGTAAGCCTGCATTTTTTTATACTCATCTTTATTTCCTTTAATTAACCTTCTGCGTTCCATTAAGTAAAGGATTTCTGGAGTCATCCAAGATTTCTTCTTTGTTTCTTTGTTTGGTTTTAGCAGATCTTTGGTTGATTTCTCGTTGGATGTTATTTTCTTCTTTTAGTTGTTTAACTTGGTTGTTAATATATTCCCCCACTTGCTTTTTAACTTCCGGATGTTGCAGGGCTGTCATGTCGTAGTTAGGTCTAGACTTTTTCTTTATTGTCTTCAGTCTCACATCCACGACTCCCACTAAAGGTATGTGGTCAGATTCAATGTCCGCTCCTGGATATGTTTTTAAATGTAACAACATTTAAATAAAATACATTTAATAAAAATACTGTCAAATGCAACCTGGACGGTTCATCCAAGAACCTTAGTCTGTAGAGATCATTTATATAAGCTAAACTAGACTATTTGGCTATGTGTATCTACGACACTCGTAACTTTATTTTTTTGAATGCGTATATTTGCTTACTTTTAAATCTACATAGATTATGGTTTATTTAAAATGACAAAATTTTAGGTGTTGAACATGGAGACGATTTGCTTTACATGTGGTTTGTATTAGAAACCTTTCCATCATACAATGAGGCTCTTCGCAAACCTATACTAAAGTGGTGGACTAATTTCATTAAATATCAGTAAGTTTTATCGAGAAATAATTTCTTTATGTACAAAATAGATGTAAGGTTTTTGTCGTTATTTCTTCCCTTTATATTGTCACTGGGAGGAAGAGGAATATATTCAAACCTTGTTTGAAAACAGATATAGATATGAGATTTTTCTTCTTCTTCTTTAGCCTGTTTGTGTCCATTTCTTGGCAAAAGCCCCTTCATGAGTTCTCCACTCTTCCCTGTTTTGTATTATTTAATGCCAATTTCTCACGACTGTCGCTTTGATGTCATCTAGGCACATTTTTGTGGTCTTTCTTAATTACGACTCTGATTCTCCTCCAACTTTCGTTGCCGTCTCGTGATACGTATCATGCCTAGCTCCACTTAATTTGCCCAATTCTTCCAATTACATCTTCCATCTTCGTCCTGTTTCACAAGTGTTAATTTTATATATATCCCCTCGAATATACTTCTAAAATAGCTCGTTCGATAACCCTCTTCTTCTTAGAGTGCCGTCTCCCTACGGAGGTTGGCAATCATAATGGCTATTTTTATTTTAGAACTTGCTGCTCTAAACAAATCAATCGACCTGCATTGGTACCAATCACGTAGATTCTTTAACCATGAGTTCTGCCTTCGGCCAACAGATCTTCTTCCTTGAATCTTTCCCTGTATTATCAGTCTCAAAATTTCATATTTTGGTCCCCTCATCACGTGGCCTAGGTATTCCAGTTTTCTGGTTTGTATAGTGGTGATTAGTTCTTTTTCTTTACCAACCCTCTCCAGTACTTCTTTATTTGTAATTCTATCAGTCCATGATATTTTCAATCCTCTGCGGTATAACCAGAGTTCGAAGGCCTCGATTCTTTTTAAATTACATTTTTTTAATGTCCAAGTCTCAGCTCCATATAATAATATTGAAAATATATAACAGCGAATGGTACGTAGTCTGATCTCCAAATTTAGATTTTTGCACGTTAGGAGTTGCTTCATTCGTATAAATGCTGATCTGGCAATCTCTATTCGCCTGTTTATTTCTACAGTATGATCATTGGTTTCATTGATCAAAGTTCCCAAATACTGATATTTTTCTACTTGTTCTATCACGTTACCATTTATTGTCAATAGGTGATGTATATTTTGTGGCCTTTTTGTAATCAGCATGTACTTGGTTTTTTTTTTAGCGTTTATAGTAATTCCCATCTCAGCACTATTTATACTCAAGCTTTCGATAAGATGTTGTAGATCCTCTATACTCGTTGCTATGATCACAGTGTCGTCTGCATATCTTAAATTATTAATTAATTTTCCGTTAACGGTGAGTCCCGCTTCGATATTATTGAGCGTGTTTTGGAAAATTTCTTCAGAATATAAGTTAAACAAAAGTGGTGATAAAACACATCCCTGTCTAACTCCTTTACAGATCCTCATTTCTTCTGAGTGTTGCCCATCAATTTGAACTATGGCACTTTGGTTCCAATATAATGTTTGTACTATATTTATGATTTTACTGTCAATGCGCTTGTTCATAAGTATTGATATTAGTTTTTCATGTCTTACTTTATCGAAAGCTTTTTCGTAGTCAACGAAGCACAAGTGTAGATCAACATTTACATCCCGACATCGCTGAATTAATATGTTGATGGCAAATAGTCCTTCTCGAGTACCCATTCCATTTCGGAACCCGAACTGCGTCTCGCTAATATCCTCCTCTAGCCTTTCGTATATTCGCTTATGTATTATTTTTAGCAGAACTTTTAAAGTATGACTCATGAGGCTCAGTGTTCGATAATCAGAACACTCTTTTGCTGCTTGTTTTTTAGGGATGGTTATAAATGCTGACTTTAGCCACTCCTGTGGTATTATTCCCATATCGTACACCGTGTTGAATAAATCTGCCAATACTTCCAAGTTGTCTTCTTCCACTAGTTTTAACAGTTCTACTGGTATTTCATCTAATCCAGCTGCCTTATTGTCTTTAGAGTTTTTGATAGCATATTTAATTTCATCTATCGTGATCTTCTGTATCTCTAAAGGATTTTAATTCTTGTATTTTCTGCATTTCACCTCTTTCATCTTGGAAATGTTCTCTAACGTACTCCTCCCATCGCCTTAACTTCTCTGGTAAATCTACTAGTAGTACTCCTTTTTTGTCTTTTATGTGTCCTTGCTGTCTATTTTCCACCCATTCCAGTCACTTCTCTAATTTTTTTGTGCATATTTCTCATATCATATTTTGTTTCTAGTTCTTCTATCTCTTTACATTGCTTTATCAAATAGATTTTCCTTAGCTGTTTTGATTTTTTCCTTAATTATTCGTTGTATTTTTTTATACTTCTGTAGATTTTTTCCTTTATATTTCCTTTTTTCTTCCATTAGTAATAGTATTTCTTCTGTCATCCAGTGTTTTTTAGCCTCTGATTTATGTTCTATTAAAACTTTCTTGAGCTGGTTTCAGTAATGTGTTTTTTTATATTACACCACTTTTTTATTTACATCCATAATTTGTTTGTTGTCAGTTAGTGTTTTTTGCATATTAACATTCACATTATTTTTTATTTCGTTTTTTATTTCTTCGTTTTGTAGCATTCTTACGTTAATTTTTGGTTGTTGTTTTCTGAGTTCAATTCTTTTTAATTTTATTTTCATGTCAGCCACTAACGGATTGTGGTCTGAGTTAACATCTGCTCCAGGATAAGTTTTATAGGATAACCTTCCATGTTGTTCTTAATCTATAGGCTAATAACTGTGTACATGTTACGGTTTCATTACCATTATACAATTGCTTTACATTACATTTATGCAATACGAATACCATTTTCGTTAGACTACCATCATGGCAATCTGCTAGACTACCATCATATCTTTCGTTGTTCTTCATGATGTGACCAAGGTATTAGATTTTGACACTTTTTATTGTGCTTAACAACTCTTTTTTTTTCCTATGATTAAGACAATCGAAAAATAAATATTTCAAATCTCCGATAGATTTATTATTACATGGACAGAAGGGAGTTTCATAGATTTCAATCCTATACAGATGCTCTGGAAAGAGGCCATGGTTAATTTTTAGCCGGGTTATCAACGAAGAAAGTAGTTTACTATGCTTATTTTGTTAGACTTATTGTAACTTTTTGTTGTTCAACACAACACCGAGTCTTCCTACTGCTGCCTAAGTAATTCGGATTCTTCCAGTGATATCTGCCGTTTGAATCTCTTTGTCCAGTTTGATCATGCGACTTAGGTATATATACTGCTCAATACTTTCGATGTTAAAATCTCCTATTTCTTCATCTGTTGATTGGTTAGTTTAAACATGTACTTAAATGATTTGTATATACTATCTTTCTAATAAGGTAAGAACAATGTATGGGACTCTCTCTGAGATTGCACTGCGACTTGTGTCTTTTGTTAGTATAATATATGTCCAAATTAACCCATTTTCTACCAGAATATCAATAAATATATTTTTTCATAAATATAACTGCAGATGACAATGGAATGAAACTAAATAAACGTAAAAATATGTTTTTATTAATTTTTTGTTATAAACATAAGAAAAAAACGCTGTGACCATATGGTCACACAGGGAGGTTACCTATATATACATTATGTATTTACTACTGTGTATGAAAATTTTCAAAACACTCAATGTAAAGTCCTAAATTACATTTTTTACATTGTGTACGTATCACAGAAGAACATCCTTCTCCTGCACACCTACGTCTTTTACCGTTAGGAACTGGAACAACAAGATGGCCAGTTTTGTCATATCGTAGATTGTTGGGCACTCTATTCATGGACAGACTATTCTTGCTGACTGAAGGCTTACCAGGACGTCTAGGCGGTACTCCATATTTCCGGTGCAATTTCTTGGCGGAAAACTATATTTGGTGTTTTTTTTCTTTCCTTTGAGGACTTCTTAAAAAGCACCCACGCGTTATGTAGGCATACGTCAACAAGCCAAGTAAAAAGAGGCCAATACCACTTTTTACTTCTGATGCCAATTCTGTATCGTGCCACATCTTCATCCATTCTATCCGTGCCACCCATGAATGTATTATATTTTGTAATAATCAAAGGCCTTTGTACTTTAATATTTTTCTTCTGTTTCTTAGAATATCTCTTGACGTAACTTTGAGGATTGATATCGTCGCAAGTTGATGCAGCCGTAACTACAGCATTATCCATCCACTTGATCAATATAAATCCGTCATTTTTAGATATAACATAATCAACAGAACCTCTAGTTTTAGTAGCCATTACTTTGTTATCCGGCAAAGGGCAACACTTAGGAACTCTATTTTGTCTTATTGTTCCAGTACAGTCATATCCCCTTAGTTTTAATTCTGCAAGCAAATTGAAACTCGTAAATAGATTATCGGTATAAATATGGTAATTTGGCATCTTATTTGGTAGATCGTCAAGCATTTGAAGTAAAGGAGCTGTTGCACTTCCAAATGTTTCTACATAACTGTTATCAGTTGAAATCTGTTAACCTTGATATAACTGAAAATAAATCAAATAACTGTCTTCAGAATTCAAACACCAAGCTTTATAGCCAAAGCGTATTGGCTTACCTTTGATAAACTGTTTACAGCTATGTTTTCCAAAATACTTGATCATTGATTCATCATAATTCTTGTGCTGGGTTGGTTGAAAGTACTTAAGACATTTCATTTGCACCTTTTCTATAATGGGGCGTAGTTTTCCACATTTTATCAGTCCTTTCAATTTTGCTGTTATCGGCAAAATGAATACATTTCATGATTTGATCAAATCTATTCCTGCGCATAGAATTTTTCACCATGTGTATTGCCATGTCATCCTGTTGATCCCAATAATATGTTCTGTCCGGTAAGGGATGGTAGCCGGATAAAATTAAAATTCCGAAAAAACATTTTAATTCATCAATGGACAGATTTGGATCTGGAAAATTCTTGAACGCAGCATTATTTTTTTGTTTCTTGTAAAATATGTTCAAACATATCGTTGTCATAAAATAAGTTCGAATAGTTGTAATGGACTCATGTCATAAAATTCATAACTTTCAGATTTATTCTCGTTTTTAAATTTTTTATTATGTATCAAATCTCCCTCTATCCATTGCTTGATCTCAGTTTTTTTTGGAAATTCTACATTTTTTATTTTTTTCCCTCGTTTATCTGACTCACCCGTTCATCAAATTTTGTTGTCTTTATTTCATCCACAGAGTCTTCCTCTCCTTGTTCCATATTTTTCGTTACGATTTAATTTCACTTTTTCACAGATATCCCATTTGATCCTAGTTAGTTTTTTCTTCCAGTTCATCCATTCTTTCAGGTGATTTGAAGTTCTGGCATTAAAAATTTTTATTACTATTACTTTCGATGTTTTATTGAGTTTTTTCCTTTCTCAGATTCCATGAGATGTAGAATTAAACATCCATCTGTATACCAGATTTTGTTGTTTCAAAACTCAATTAGAGTGTATTAGTCATAACTCGCCAAGCTGGCAAGACAGGTTGGCGAGATATAAGAAAGGGTATTGTAAAGGGATTTGAGGTTTTTTAGGTCTGGATTTCTCGAAGTAAATAATGGAAAAAAACCAGGAACAGAGATCTGCCCTGCAAAGAGGTCTTCTTCTTCTTTGGGTGCCGTGTCCGTATTCAGACGTTGGCCGTCATTATGTTTACAATTTCCTGAAACCTTTCTCTGTCGGCTGCTGCGCGAAATAATTCTTCTACTGTGGAACCACACTATTGTCTAATATTACGCAGCCATGAAAGTTTCTTTCGATCAATCCATCTCTTTTCTTCCACTTTTCCTTGTATTATAAGGCGAAGTAAATGTTATTTAGGTCCTCTATATGGCCGAAGTATTCTGTTTTTCTCCTTTTTATGGTGTTTATGAGCAGACGTTCTGAATTGATCATTTGAAGAACATCTTCATTGGAAGTGTGCGAAACCCACGATATCTTTAGGATTCGTCTATAGCACCACAATTCGAATGCTTCTAACTTGTTTAGCATTGTGGTTTTTAACGTCCATGTCTCACAACCATACAATAGGATCGACCACACATAACATTTCAGGACCTTCTTACGGATATTCATTGACAGGTTTCTGTTGCATAAAACTGGTTTCCAGGTCATAAAAGCCTTACGTGATATTTCGATCCTGGATATTATCTCTTCATCAGAGTCACAATTTACATTTAACCAGCTGCCAAGGTATTCGAAATGATTTACCCTTTCTATCTCTTCTCAATTAAGAGAAGGCAGACCTTGATCTATATGGATCTTTCCAACTGCCATCCACTTTGTCTTTGAAATGTTGATTTTTAGGCCTCTCCGATAACTTGCTTCACTGACTAGATTTAGTAATGTTTGGAGATCTTGTAAACTTTCTGCAAGAATGGCTGTAATCGTCAGCATATCTAATATTGTTGATTACTTCTTCACCTAGTCTTACTCCCTCTTGTCTGTCATCCAAAGCCTCCCTAAAGATTTCTTCAGAGTACAGATTAAAAAAAGTGGGTGACAAAACACAACCCTGCCGTACTCCACGTTTGATGGGTATCTTTTCAATGAGACTGTCCTCCAATTTGGATAGAGGCTACTTGATTGTAATATAAGCAAAGAGGTCATAGAAGGGTATAGTGTTGCAAAGAGTGAGAACGATTTGTATAGATTTCTATATCAATTTATTTTAACATAAGAAAATATCAACAACCAAAATAAAAATACTAATTATTTGATATGTACATATTCTAAAGAAATTGTCCAAGAAGCGCTAAAGGAATAAATAATATACATAAAAGGAAACGGAAAACCTATCAATAATTTAAGATATGCTAATGATACGGTAATAATATGAAATAAATTCGGAGAACAAGTAAAACAAGTCCAAAATTACAAATATTTAGGATCAATAATTAACGACAACAACGAATATACTGAAGAAATTAAATCAATAAGCAAAATACGCATTTATCAAAATGAAAAACATTTTGTGTATGACAGATTTGTTGATTGGATTAAAATTTAGACTGTAAAGGTCGATTTATACATATTCGTACCGCGTCCGGTCCATGTCAGTGCCGAATCCGGGTATTTGTAATGTTATATTTACATACAACCGCGTTTGAAGCTGTATGCGTACCGGGCCGAATAAAAATGAAAACAGAATTACATATTCTGTGTAAAAGAGAGTTGTAAAAGAGATTGTTGGCATGATTACTTGACAAATAGGGGAAAATACGCAGAAAAGGCGGAAACCAAGAAAAAGGAGTGTGCATCGTATGTGAAAAAAAAAACCGAAGGAGAATTTTAAATATACTGAGAATTATTGAATAATGAAAAAAATGTCAGGATTATTTTAGAATGTCGCTGTAGTATTTTTTCTTTTTCTTTTTGCTTTAATACATATAAAAAAACCATAACAAACTAACCGCACAACATCTCCTGCTTATGTGTTAACTAGCCGCGTTAATAAAACAATAAAATCGTGTTTATACAATTCCCGGCGGTCCGTGCCATTTCCGTGCAAGTTTTCTACCTATGGTGCAGAAACATTATCGCTCACAAAGAAAAAGCGCACAAAAACTAAGAGTAGCGCAGAGAAGAAAGGAGCGATCAATGATAGGGGCCACTCTGCGAGACAGATTAGAAACGAAGATCTACAAGGTAAGACCAAAGTCATAGACGTCATTGAAAGAAGCTGTAACTTAAAATGGAAATGGGCTGGACACGTTGCCAGAATGAAGGACGGAAGATAAACTTGCAAACTATTTAAATGGAGACCAAGAGCCGATAAACGTAGCAGAGGAAAACCACCAACATGATGGCAAGACGACTTACGAAAGGCAACAAAAAACTGGATACAGCAAGCTCAAGATAGAACACTTTGAAGACAAACAGGGGAGGCCTATGTCCAGCAGTGGATTGAGAGAGGCTGATGATGACTATCATAACACAGAACGGATATGTATTAATCGACCTTTAAAATCGATTTATACATATCCGTGCCGAGATATTTACATACAAATGCGTTGTAACAGTGTTCATACCGAGACGAATAGGGGAGGAAAACGTTATTACATATTTCTGGATATGTAATGCTTACATAGGAGATCTAACCGTGTTGGCATTATTACTTGATGCAAAGGAAGAGCAAGAGCAGAAAAGGTGGAAACAAAGAAAATGGACAGTGCATCCTATGTTGAAAAAAAAACAAACCGAAGGAGAATTCAAAATATCAAAATATACAGAGAATTATTGGTCAATGAAACAAAATTTCACGAATATTTTAAAATGTTGCAGTACTCTTTTTTCTTTTTCTTTTTTCTTTAATACATGCAAATGAAAATCATACTAACCGCACAATTTATTCTGTCTGTCTCTTGACTAGCACTCGCATTCACACAGCAATAAAATCGTATTTATATAAGTCCGTGCAGCCCGTATCATTTCCGTGCATCGCCAATGTATAAATATATCCGTAAGAATACATTATTGTTCTTTTCTGCCGGACAATGTCATAACACGGAACGGACACGGCACGGATATGTATAAATCGACCTTTAAAGGTATTATGTGTTCTCTGTGCTTCTATACGGAGTGCAGGATATAGACGCTAAAGGAAAAGATCGCCGATATATTGAAAGCTTATAGAAGAATGCTTAAAATGAGCTGGATGGACAGAATTGCAAAATAAATTCTTGGAAAGAATGAAAAAAACAAAAAGAAATCAAAATTAGAAAGTTACAATATTGACACTACTACAGATGATCATTCAGGGGAAAATATAAGTACGGAGAAGCGGAGGCAGAAGACGAATTTATTGGCTAACCAAATTTAAGAACGTCATTCAACTGTAGTTCTACAGAACTTTTCACGGTAGTGGCATCGAAGATTCGAATCGCTATGACGGTTGTTAACAAGAAGACAGAATGTAAAGAAGAAAGTACAATTTTGATTCCTGATAAAAAAACATGACTTAGACAATAGTTTGCTCTTGCTTTTTTCACTCTTTATGCTTAATATAAGAAACCAAACGAAATGAAAAACCAGATCTAACATGCATGTCACTATCATTATTTTGAAATTTTTGTGTTTACTTTTTATCCTTTCAATGTTGGCTTATTTTATAGTTTCTTTGTATGACTAATTCTCTTTTTCAGAAATCCTACTCCAGTAGAGGATGAAGATTTACAAAATGTCATTTGGCCAGAAGTTACGCCTGGGTCTGTGAAATATTTGAATATCGATTCAAAATTTGAAGTAAAAGAAAACCCTCGACAATATTATCAAATTGAATCCATTCTTGATCCTTACGTAAGAGTGCCTCTTATCACGTACTGAAATAAATTATAATATGTAACATGGAAAACACAAATAAATAAAACTAAAATATTTAGTTTTTATTATATCACGCAAGCTCAGTTGGGCATTTCGTGTTAAAATTTTCGGTGCGAATGTTTTGTGTCAAATTTAAAATTTAACCTTCTAACCTTGTTTTTAGCGATTCTGGTTTTGTTTTGATTTTATATTGGTTTTTTACCGTTAATACGATTTATTTTTGAAGTAGGAATTCTTTAGGAATTTCATTTTTTTTTATTTTTTCATAATATTTGATATATGATGAGACAGATTTTGCCATTTGTCCACATTTTTTGGGCAAAGCTAATGAAACAAAATAAGCTAAGCATATTGCCCCTAAGAACGTTAGAACTCGAATTGTTCTGCACCTTCCGGGTTCTAAAACAATGTGTCAAACAGAAAACCGATATTTTAGATACCTGGAACAACCCATTTGATACTGATACGTTGCATATTATAGTCAATGAACAAGACAGATTAGAGAGGTGAAAAGAATATATTGAGGAGCTGTTTGATGACGATAGAACAAAAATTCAAATCAAAACTATATCGACTGGTCAAAACATAATACTAGATGAAGTGAAAAGAGCTATAAAGTTAACAAAGAATAGGAAAGCAACTGGGTTAGATGAAATTCCAAGCGAAATAATCAAACTTCTCGACGATAAGGGAAAGATTCTCTTCTAAGCCTCTTCGATAAAATATACGAAACAGGACATATACCAACAGACTGGCCACTGCCAACATATGTAATGATACCGAAAAAAATAAATGCCAAATAGTGTAGCGATTATCGCACTATCAGTCTGATGAGTCATGTACTGAGTTCTGCAAGATAATATAAAAATATATCAGCAAATGCAATTATTGTAGAAAGTATTTCAAAGATTCAACAGAAAACTGAATGAAGTTTCAACAGCAAAGTGTGAATATGAAATATGAAAATATGAAATACAAAAAATGTTTCTATGTAAGGCGGTGCCCCCTAGCCTTCTACATAATAATACTCTGACGAAAAATTTAGAACTCCTTAGTAGAAAAGACAAAATATTATAGGAACACATGCGTAATACAATAACTTAAACATAAAATAATTACTTAAAAAGTTATTAAAAAGTTTTTGTACGCTGCCCGATCTTATGATAGTTAAGTCAGATCCACGTGCAAAATAAATTTTTTGATAGGTAACAAGTATATTATAACACTTACAAAATTTATTGTACTTATAATTTAAAAATGTAATCGTAAAATATAATAATGTAAAAATGTAATAAAATAATTTATTTTCCCTTATCAGCAAACTCTAATTTTAATTGCCTTCTTAAGATCTTTCCAGACGGATTTCTTGGAATTGCATCAATAACCGACACTCCTCCTCCAACCAGCTGTTTATAGTTAGCGACCTGTTGAGCTACATGTGACTTAAGTTCATCCTTATTAATATTTTTATTTTTCTTTGCAACTACATAAGCTTTAGGAACCTCCCCGTATTGTTCGTGTGGTATTCCAATCACTGCAACGTCTTCTACGTCTGGATGACCTCTAATTACTTCCTCAAGTTCCGCTGGAGCCACTTGAAAACCTTTCACCTAAAATTTAATTCAATATTTAAATCGTGGATCTATCTACAAATATTATAGATAAGTTGGATTTATCCAATATAGTAAAAAATGAAATAGTTTAAATGAGAAGAGAGCACAGAAATAACAAGAACAATAACAATTTGAAAATTACAATATATTTCCACATATTATACCTATCAAAAGCAAAAACATAGCCACTTCCTCTGTCAAACTAACCTAAAATAAATATAAAAAATAGAAGAGACATGTAAACCTTAGTAATAAGTTTTGACAGAACGAAACAGAAAATCAAATTTAATAATGTCATTATGTTAATTAATTTTGCTAATTTTAAAACAGATAGATCAAGAATTAGATTTATTTGTCAAAGATATTCAAGATTCAGAATGGGATTGCACTCCCATACTGAAAACAAAAGTTAAAGCGAATAACTACCCTAAAGAAATTCGTGAATTAATAAAATAAAAAAGAAAACTAAAGAAGAAAATGGCAGCAAACGAGAGCCCCTCGAGACAGAACTAACCTAAACAATGTCATCCAGCAACTTAAAAGAGAAATCCAGAAAATTAAGAATGAATCTATTAAATCTTATCTGGAAGAGCTAACAAACGACAGTAGCACAGAGTACTCGCTTTGGAAGCCTACAAAAAGAATTAAAAGGCCAATATTACATTCTTCTCCAATAAAACTGGAAGACGGTAGTTGGGCCAGAAATAATCAGCAGAAGGCAGAGAGATTTGTCACTCATCTAGAGAACACATTTAAGTTGCAAGATGACCAAGACGATGACCAGGATTGGGCCGAACCAAAGCAAATAGATGAGAATATCAAGCCAACTTCCCAAAAAAAGTAGCTGAGTTAATTAAAGAACAAATCGACCCAAATAAAGCACCAGGTTATGACCTCATTACCGGAAGACTGCTAAAAAATCTACCAAGAAAAGCTATCGTAAAATTAACAAATTTAATAAATGCGGCCTTTAGACTACAATATGTTCCAGATTTATGGAAGGTAGCTAAGGTGATCATGATACCAAAGCGTGGGAAACCCCCCTATGAGGTGACATCATATAGACCAATATCACTCCTACCTGTGATGTCCAAGGTGTTTGAAAAACTCCCTGCGCAGAATCCCAAGAATAATTGAAGAAAAGAAAGTAATTCCAGATCATCAATTTGGATTTAGAAATAAGCATTCGACAATTGACCAGGTGCATAGAATAACTGCTATAATTGAAAGATGATTAGAGAAAAGAAAAGTCTGTTCTGCAACCTTCTAGATGTGGCACAGGCGTTTGATAAAGTCTGGCATAACGGTTTGATACATAAACTTAAATCATTCATGCCTAAACAATATTCAAATATATTAGAATCATATCTAGCGAACAGACATTTTAGAGTTAAAGAAGAAGATGCATACACTGATCTCAAGGATATTGAAGCAGGTGTTCCACAAGGGAGTGTATTGGGTCCAGTCCTATACCTAATATACACGTGTGATATACCTGAACTAGAAGACGACACCATAGCTACCTTTGCAGATGACACTGCTGTCTTAGCAGTAAGTGACACCGTCGAAGAAGCTACAAAAAAACTACAAAATTCAATAAATAAAGTTCATAAACGGACCAAAAAATGGAAAATTAAGCTGAATGAGAATAAATCAGTCCATATAAATTTTACCAATAAGAGAATTAATAATATTCCGATTAGAATAAATGATGTCCAAGTGCTTATTGCAACATCAGCAAAGTACTTGGGGATCACTCTTGATGCGAAACTTCGCTGGAAAGCTCACGTGAAGAAGAAAAGAGAAGAACTAGGCATCCGCTACAAGAAAATATATTGGTTGATGGGAAGGTATTCCTCTCTATCCATAAATAATAAACTCCTAATCTATAAACAAATACTGAGGCCAGTAATGGACCTATGGTTGCTAATATCTGGGGATGTGCCAAGCTTAGTAACATCAAAGTAATCCAGGTATTCTAGAATAAAGTGCTAAGGAACATCGTAGATGCGCCTTGGTACGTTAGGAACAACGATCTTCACCGGGACCTCAAGATGGAAGATGTCAATCAGATAATCAAGAAATTTGCAGGGAGCCATGAACAACGACTGCATCATCATGTAAACGTCGAGGCTATCCAGCTCCTCGACAATACGAACCTAGAGAGAAGGCTCAAAAGCACAAAGCCTTTTGAACTGGTATAGTGAGTGAGTGAAAAGCAGAGCAAAGTGTTGTGCGAGTATGCATGCTAAATTTTATGCTAGTTATTAGAAATAATAGGAAAGATACTAGTGAGTAGACACCTAATTTTAAGTTTTCAATAATAATTTAAGTTAGAAACAAATTGATAATTGATCTTACTGACCAGATTTTAATGTAAGTACACTTCAGTGTCTTTAGTAAAAAAAAACAAATTTAAAACACAATCCTTATAAGGATAAGTCTATTGAAGATCATTTTTCTAAATGTAGTTTTTTACGTTAATTTTTAGTACGTTTTGAAAAAGAGTATAATAAACTCGAAAGCTTAACAAACCTAAAAGAGTTTTACTTAAAGGCCAATATTGACTACTAAACCCCAAGATATCCGTATATATTACTCACATAGTCACTAAAGCCCTTTCTAAGAATATATATACAATATATATAATATATAATATATATATATATATATATATATATATAAAGGTATATGTGTCGCCTACCCTCATACTAATATCACGATCCGCCACTGTCCTAAATTTTGTTAGATCTGTTTCCTTTGTCAAGATTCGTTATTTAGAAGAAATCTAATAATTTAACATTAACTTAAGATAAATCTGTATGTATAGTCGAAGGGCTAGGTATATATTATACTTCTGCAGCTGTTTAACATCAGAAAAAATAGCATTAAAACTACCTACTACAAATGAATTTCAATTATTACCTTGATTAATTCCTTGATTCTATCAGTAATGAAAAGACATTCATCTTGATTATAATAAGCAACATCGCCAGTTTTTAACCAACCATCCAAGAACGAGTTTTTTGTTTCTCTTCACGGTTAAGGTATCGCCTCATTATCTGAGGTCCCTTTGCCAATAATTCACCTTTTTCGTTAGGTCCTAGTGGCGTACCTAGAACGTCCAAGAAAACATCAAATAATGCGCTACTCAGTTGTTTATACCAAAAGTATTATTTTTTTAAATCAAGATGTAAGTATTATAGCGTTTTGTGATAAATTTAACAGTATGTTTCTGTTTAGTAGGATTCAAAGGTATACTTTAATGATGTAAGCACAAAAAAAATAGTTTTTGTATAACATATGTACCTGTGGTATCACCAGGAGCTACAATTTTGATTAAAGTATTTGGTACCACTTTACCGATTGTACCCCCGTTTGCTTCATTCCTACTTATATATTTTGAATAATACGTTAAAATTGGAGATGACTCTGTCATTCCATAACCTAAAATAGAAAATTTTAGTCTTTAAGCAGCTGCAAAATATACATCCTATATCTACAGAAACTACTTCTAACTTCCA